ATCCTTCTGCTAGGTTGAAGCAGAGCCAGATGGGAGAGAGAGGATGATGTGCCCATGTTCTCCTCGGGACAGGGGCTCCTGTGGCACACCCGAGGCTGGCTGGATATTCATTCTGTCTCTCCTGCGCCCTGCAAACCCTCCCTGCAGCACCGCCGCTGCCTCCGAGCCCGGCTGATGCAAGAAGAGGCTTTGCCAGCAGAGGGACCTGCAGACCGGATAATCGCTCCTTCCCCGCTGAAATACGCACCAAAACCCGCGGCCACGCTGTCTCTCCTCTCCCGCCTGGGAAAGAGATGTTTCAGACTCCTCCGCCGCTGTTCTTAACCACCTTGCTGCTGGTTGGTTTGGTTGTTGAGAGCTTTCTGTCTAAGGGGGCTGCTAAAGAAATCCATTCAAACAAGAAACCAATTGAAAACCCTCTGTTTACTGCATTTTAAAAAAATAATACTAATCCTGCAAATCCCTATAGCTATCTTCTTGCTGCCATCTAGTGAAGGGGAAAAAGTATGACTTGAGTGACATAAGCAGAGCAAAACCTCTCCCAGAGGCTTGTACTTGTTAAACAAACTCTAACTTTGAATAAACTTTTCAAAACAACCTTTAAAGTTGCATGAAGATTTCCCTTTTGGAAGTCTCATTCATAAAATGCCCTCCTAGGTCCTCCAATGGACGACTGCTGGTGAAAGCCTGACTTTGTCTGAAGAACAATCCAAGAGTGACCATTTTGTTGTACTGAAACTCTTTATGTTGCTCTTAAAAGCTGTAGGAATTGTGGTGATCTTTGCAGGATCAGTAGTGGAAGCTTTCACTGCCTTTTATATCACCATGAATACACAATTACTGTAGGAGGATCACAAGCATAGACTCTACACATATACCTAATTTATCAGAAATTAAGCAGAGTCAAACTCCATGTTAGGAGCTGAGTGAGCTGCAGGACTGAGAACAGGAGTCTCATATCCAGAGTCCTGTGCCTCAGCCATAAGATCTTCCTTTCTCTGGATAAAACTGGTACATTCCTGCATGCCTCAGGAATTTTTGGGAGGAAAGCCTCAGCTGTGTGGCAGACAAGTGATAAACAAGGAGCCAGCACAAACACAAACGCTTCAGCAGCTCCAATTGTTTTTGCATTCCTGTCACACTTCCATGACCTCTGGCCAGTCCAGACCTGTGGTTTTGGCACACACCTGCCAGAATGAGCTCTGCCTGCTTTCTCCACCTGGAGTTTTTATCTCTACCCACCAAACAGCCAGACTCAGCACAGAATTGCCACTGCTTGTGCTTTTCCTACAGTTGTTCTTGCTGTTTTCCTCCTGTTGCACACGGGATGAAACATTCACCCACCACTTCCAGCAGTTCCAAGGAGCTTCCACTAGAGTAACTCCACTCATCCCACCTCCTTTTGTACCCACAGAAAATGATCCAATCACACATTTAAATGCTTGAACACCTCTTTGCTTTCCACCCTCCTTGTGTTTTCCTGGATATAAGATCCTTGCAGCAGTGGGCAGGGCTGTATTTCGCGGTACCTACAGCACCGGTTTGGGATCGCACCGAGACCCGAATGCACTCCTGGGTCTCCCCCTCAGCCTTGGGGGTCACTTCGGAATTTGCAGCTTTGCCCACGTCCGGCTCCGTGCCGAGCAGCCGGGGGGTGCCGGGGGGCCGTGGGTGCCCGCTCCCCTCCGGTGGTCGCTAGATGTCAGCACGGGACCGCCAGCCCGGCCCCGGGGACAGACGGACCCCGGCCCGACAGACGCACACCGCTCCCGGCAGGGACAGACAGACAGACACATCCCGACAGACCCGTATCGCTCCCGGCAGGGACAGACAGACACATCCCGACAGACCGCACCGTTCCAGGAAGGACAGACAGACATCCCGACAGACCGCACCGCTCCCGGCAGGGACAGACAGACACATCCCGACAGACCGCACCGTTCCAGGAAGGACAGACAGACATCCCGACAGACCGCACCGCTCCCGGCAGGGACAGACAGACACATCCCGACAGACCGCACCGTTCCAGGAAGGACAGACAGACATCCCGACAGACCGCACCGCTCCCGGCAGGGACAGACAGACAGACACGTCCCGACAGATCTGCACCGCTCCCGGGAGGGACAGACAGACAGACACAGCCCGACAGACCCGCACCGCTCCCGGGAGGGACAGACAGACCCCGGCCCGACAGACCGCACCGTTCCACGAAGGACAGACACACACGTCCCGACAGATCTGCACCGCTCCCAGCAGGGACAGACGGACCCCGGCCCGACAGACCTGCACTCCTCCCGGGAGGGACAGACAGACACAGCCCGACAGACCCATCCCGACAAGCCGACACCACTCCCAGGAGGGACATGTAGGGTCTGTAGTAACCAAATCATTGACTCTGCCTTTTATTTTTAAAATGTTTGTGACTTGAAAGAGTCTTAGTGAAGGTATGGGTCCTGTCCTGAGAACTTACAATACCTCTTACAATCACCTGTTATAATCAGTAATTATAATCTGCTATTAATTATTAAATATTTACAGCAAGTTTTGAATATGTAAAACACTGGAAGAAATAAATCCCACTTTAAAGCTGGTAAATACTCAACTACATGTGATAGATTTATTTCCTACTGCATATGTCCATTTTTCCCCAAAGCACTTGGAAAAGATTTTATTTTCTGCCATGGTCTTCCACATGAGTCACTCCTTTCTGATATTTTTTTGTCTTCCTTTTTTTTCCCCCTTTTTTTGTTCTAGTCCAACATGACAAAATGTAAATTCCCATTTCTCAGTTTTCAGTGAGAAACCAGGTTGAGTATTTTCAAATATGCCTATTGACAGCTGCAATTTGAGGGAGAAGTCCAAAGCAAATTTTTCCATGTGCACTTTTTTTGGTAGCACATTAAACCTGAGTGAATCTCAGATTCATACAGACTCCAAATGATTTCTCTCTGCTGTGTGTTTTTTAATTACATATAAAGCATCAAATCCTCCTGCTCTGTTCTGCTGTAGCTGATGCACCTCCCAAGCTACCCTTCAGTGTTGAAATAACCCTTGGAGAGCTAATCTGTTTAATAAACCATGGGAGAGCCTGTGTGCGAAGTGTTTTCTTCTAATTTTCAGCCCACTTAGATGCACATGGCATTCTTAGAAAGTTGGCAGTACTTGCAGCATGTTTTTACAACCAGAATTCCTGAAAGTTTATAACACTACTGGTGCTTCTTATTGCAAGATCTTAACACATTACCAAAAAAGTAAATAATTTCTAGCAGGGGACAATCCTGCTTTTAACATTTCCTCTACCTCTTTCTAATGGGAATTACTTGTGCCAGTGATGATATCCTGGTACTTCCTTCCATTGGTCTGTTATGATTTGGAGTGTGGGACTGGCTCCAGAGATGAAAAGAAGTTAAGCTGTGCTCACTTGCATTTGAAAGTCACAGTGGATATATAGAGTGTCACCATGAATATATGGAGTGATCTGTCCCAGGAGTAGCTAAGTGGTTCAATTCTCATAAAACAATTAAGTTACTAAAATCAGTAATTGGTCTTCATGGTTGGATAAGCCTGATAAGGGGAGCAAAAGGGAGATGTGACCATATTGTAACATTCAAACATTGGAGGTGAGGTAAGAGAACTCCAGTGAAAAGTGTGATGGACAACCTGCTGCACACTGTGATGCCAGGCTTGGACAGAGCCAGCTTTATGTGCTCCACTCCTCCAAAAAGCAGAAACACAACCTCCCAGATTGCAGGGGAACAGCCTTGTTCAGGCAGAGCTCTGCAAGCACAGCTGGGGCTGAATGTGTCACTGCTCATCTCAGCTCTCCTGGCTCTGATGTGGACAAGGGAGGGAGACAAGCTCGTCATTTCACGTTAGCACACAGCACACGGGGAGCTGATGGGAAGGGGACAAGCCAACTGCACTTCAAGAGGGCCTGAGAAAAACAAACCACATTCTGGAAAGAGCCTCCTGTCACTGTAACACCCAGGCTATTTACTACAGCAGATAAACTGCCAGGTGCATCTGCAGCAACTGGTTGCATCTGCCTGCAGGAAATATCCACCTGCTCACAGCTATGTGTCACTGCACTGGATTCAGGATTCATCCCATCCTTTCCAGGCAGACCAGGCACATGAGGGACCTGGACCAGGCACATGGAGAAAGCCTGGAATGCCCTTACGCTGTCTGTAAAACAAACCTCAGTAATATGAACCAGTCTCCAAACTCTAGAAAAGAAAGAAATGGGGATCTCTTTCTCTTGCAATTAAAGTTTAGGCCATTGTTGTCATCTTGATGCAGGAATGTGTGACTAAACATCCTGATTGTTCTTCTCCATGCAGCTCCACCTTTGCCAGTGGTTGCCTCAGATTCTCCTCCATGGATCAGACAGCACCAGTCCCAGTGATGATTCCTCCCACCCTGCAGACCATTTGTTTGTTTCCTGTCCCAGCGTCACACTCTGTGCTGGTACCCACAGCTGGGGAGGACACAGGGTCCCTTCTTCAGAGAAGGGCTGGGTCATCACAGATCTAAACATTTCCTGGCACATGGAAGGGAGGAACACTGTGAGCTCCTGAAGAAAATGGGAATAGGCAGGGCCTTGCCTTGGAAATGTCCCTGAACAACAGGTGCCCACCTAAACCACCATGACTGCATCTCAAGCACCAGGTGTGCCCTGGTGCTTCCCTGAGCTTCCAGCATCCAGGGAAGGGGAACAGAGGGGAAGGGAAGGGAAGGGAAGGGAAGGGAAGGGAAGGGAAGGGAAGGGAAGGGAAGGGAAGGGAAGGGAAGGGAAGGGAAGGGAAGGGAAGGGAGCGCGCTGCCCTGCGATTGGCGGCGGCTGTCCCCGCGGCCCCTGTCGCCGATATAAGCGCGGCGGGGCTGTTGTGCGCTCACTGCCCGCCCCCAGCCCGGGCGCAGCGCCGAGCGGAGCGGAGCGGCGGGGCCGCCTCCTCCTCCTCCTCAGCGCCCAGGCAGCGGCGGCCGAGCGGGGCTCCGGGTGATGGCTGAGCTCAAGTCGCTGGGCAGCGAGGCGTACCTGGCGCTGGCCCCGGGCTACGGGCCCTCGGCTTTCGCCTACGGGGCGGTGCGCGGGGGCGCCGAGGGCCCGCGGGGCGCCTACCCCGGGGCCGGCGGGGCGGACTTCCACGGCGGGGCGATGGGCAAGTCCGCGGAGAGCAGCGGCGAGCAGAGCGGCGACGAGGAGGACGGCTTCGAGGCGGGCGTGAAGGGCGGCGCGGGCTTCGAGCGAGAGGGGAAGCTGAAGGGGGGAGCCCTGGGCAAGAAGCCCAAGGAGCAGCGCTCGCTGCGCCTCAGCATCAACGCGCGGGAGCGGCGGCGGATGCACGACCTGAACGACGCGCTGGACGGGCTGCGCTCCGTCATCCCCTACGCGCACAGCCCCTCGGTGCGGAAACTCTCCAAAATCGCCACGCTGCTCCTGGCCAAGAACTACATCCTCATGCAGGCGCAGGCCCTGGAGGAGATGCGGCGGCTGGTGGCCTACCTGAACCAGGGCCAGGCGCTGAGCGCCCCGCTGCCCGCCACCCTCAACCCCTTCGGACAGTCGCCCGTGTACCCCTTCGGCGGCGCGGCCGTGCCCGGCTGCCCCGAGAAATGCACTGCCTTCACAGGAGCCGCCTCCGCCCTCTGCAAACACTGTAACGACAAGCCTTGACTTCTGCCTTCTTCGGGCTTTTCTTTTATTTTTTTTTCCTTTTTTTTGTTTTGTTTTGTTTTGTTTTTTCTTTTTGGTTGGTTGGTTTGTTTTCTTTCTCTGCACTTTTCTTCCCACTGCCATCAGCCCTGGCTTCCTTCCATCAGTTAAGTCTGGGTTTTCTCTTTTGTTCTTCTCTTAAATACCCCCCTCCTCCCCATCTGGAAATATTTGGAAGTTCACGTGGAACCCCCCCAAAACACCCACTTTCTACTTTATTTAGTTCCCCCCCCCCTCACATGCAACTTCATCTGTAGAGTTATTTCCTTCCCAGCCTGTCAGTGGATTGTGAGCGTAATGTTGCTTTTCGCTTGCTCTGAGCTGCAAAGTTTTTGAGCAGTTTTGAAACAGAACTGTAGAAAAACAGAGAGGGAGAGAGATCTGGAAATGGAAACCTCAGTGAATTTGCTTTGGCATGATCGACCTGTGTTAAAAATAGATTAAAAGGAGGAAGGGGAAGCAAAATCCAGCTGCAAACTATGCAATGTTTCAGAATCGTGGGCGGAGGGGGTTCTGTGTAGCCAGCTGGGGTTGGACTGCACCCGCAAACCCAAATGGAAATCCTTTGGTCAGAGCTCACGGGAGGGGGGAAAGTCCAGTACTCTTGCTAAAACAATTGATGCTTCAAAGTAAGATGCTTTTTTTCTTTTCTCTCTTAAAAAAATTAACCCGTTCTTGGACTGAGAGGAACCTGTGATTGTATGCTAATGCTTGCTGTTTGCCTGTTTCTCAGCTTGGTTAAGTTTTCCGGATGATTTTCCAAAGTCGTTGATCATCATGATAAGCAAAGCAAAAGGTGACTTAACATATTTATATGTATTTATAATAAATAAAAGACATGAATAACCACTTTCTCTGTCCTACATGTCTCTAAAACCAGCTGGCAGTCCCTGCAAAACCCCTGCTGGAGTCAAGTAAAGCAGAGATGGATGTGGCAGGAGCAGCTGTGTGAACTTAGGGGAATGATCAGAATACTTGGGAAAAGCTTGTGGATATTCAGCTCCTTATCAGCAGGGATTTGCATTTTTTCTCCACTTTCTCCTGAATCATGAGCACACAAAAAAATGTTGTTTATGTCTGACTCTGAGTTAAGCAAGCAGGGGTTTAGGCTGTGTATTCTGACACTTGCTGGGGAATGCTGTGCCCTGAAAATGGTGTTTGACTGGGGTTATTGTAGCAGCTAGCTTAGCTCTGAGCACCCCTACGAAAAACATGGCAGGGAAGGAAATCTCTTTAAAAACTCTGCTTATCCCTTTGATTGGTTTTCTGTTCTGTCTACAGCTTAACCCTAGATCTGCACCTGGGGTTTGGGCCACCTAATATCATGACTGAGCTAATGATCTCTTGCCAATACTGACTGTGTTCGTACAAGTTACAAAGTGCGTCTCGCGCTGGCCGAGCTCTCTGTGTTGCTCGTGTTGGGTTACTTTGGTTTTCTGGTTTCTGTTGTTCAACGCTTTGGTGCCTTGTCTGCTTCACTAGTAATTAAATAATAATAATAATAATAATAATAATAATAATAATAATAATAATAGAGGTGCATTCAGTGCTTTCTGTTGGGGTTGGAAATACCCACCCAATGTCAGAGCAACCACGCAAAACTGGTACAGTCGCAGCCTCAGGGGCTCGAGCTGTCCGTGGCCATTTGTGTTAGGAGTGGGGTGTAACTATTTAGGGTTATTAAACCAATTTCCATGCCTGTCGCTAGTGTTATGCTAATTTGAAAAGGACTGCCATCCCTCCGAAGCGCTTGTCCATGGCACTTAATTTTAATTAATACATTTCCAAAAGACTTTTTGTGTTTGGAAAACGAAGTGTGTGATTAAGCCTTATTCATAAAGACAAATGTTTAAAACTGGTTCCCGCTCATTTCCATTTTTATATCTTCATTTCTTTCCTGTAATTAAAAAAAAGGGAAAAAATTAGAATAGTTTTACAGAACAATTTATCTCTTGTACCTTTTTCTGTTAAAGAAAATTTTGAAAATGCTCTTAAAGCATTGGACATCTGATGAAGCAAAAACCAACCAAAACCCCTACTGAAGCAAAAATTACTGGAAACTGCAGATCAGCAAAGGTCACTCAAAATTTTGCAGACTGAGTTGTTGCTAGGAAATATTTGGGGGAAAAAAAAAGCCAGTTTAACAGAGAATTATAATTTTTTTAAGTAGATGTATGTTATTTCTGGTTAAAATTAGAGAAGATTGAAAATATTTAAATGGTCATTAGCTTAACTGTTCATTTTTCACCAAAACTAAAATAGTTGGAGAATAAAGTATTTAACAGCTTAATATTTAATCTGAGTTTGGTTTAGTTAAAGACTTAAGGCTAAAAAGAATGGAATTTGTAATTGCTTCTTTGTCAAATAATTATGGCCCAAAAAAGAAGTCTCACTAATTTCAGAGCCTAAAAACTCTTCACAGTCTGAGACAAGCTATTTTTGGAATTATGGGTTTTAGTACAGTGATTGTTTTAAATCTCTTCCTTTCATTTATGTCAGTAAAAACTTGCTCATACTATCATACCTACCTAGAACCCTAAAATTCTACCTTCTGAGAGTTCTTGAAATATTTAGAAGGCTCTTCAAGAGCCCACTTGGAATTAAATGATATCGGGAGGCTAAGTAAGGAATTTCAAATACAGAAGAAAACACCTGCATTAAATTTTTTTTTAAAAGGAAAAATAGCAAGTTTGGCTATTTAAGTGCTGTTATAAGGCCAGGTAGTAAAAACAAGTGCAGAATTTATCAAAACAATACTAAAGGCAGTTAACCTTAAAGTACAACGGTTTTAATTCAAAAGGAAAAAGAATATGAATCGTAACTTTTCCTGCAACAAACAATATTAAACTCAAAGAAAGTTGACCAACTTCTCAGTTAATCTGGAAGTTCAGTCCTGTGGAAGTTCAGCTGCTTCTGTCCACCCTGGCTTGCAGGATTTTAGCTGCTGCTGAGGTGGAGCCCGTTCTGTTTCCCATGGCAGGAAGGCATCTGCTCTGAGGTGATTTACACTGCTCTGAGCTGCTGCTGAAACTGCTACCAAGTGAATGCCGAATACTTCTCAAAGATGATTTTGTTGGCAATAAGGGATAAATGAGCGGCTGACCATTGCATTTGTGTGTGTGAAGCATCAGTGCTAACCTTGCAGCTGTGTGTGGTTATCCTGAGGATGAAGTCCTGTACTTGTCATTTGTTTTTTCCCCTTCTCTGGCATATTTTGTGTACCATGTAAGGTTTTAAGTGTCTCCTTCCATTTGGTGTTTCAGAGAATATGAAGGGAGGACTTGAGAAAAACTGAAGATTTTTTTTTTCTGTTCAAATGTTCTTGTTATGATGCTTGCTCTTTTTTTTTTCCCCTAAGAAGAATTTATTGTGTATGCTCAGATGGAACTGAAATACAGACCATGTGTTCTAATGTATTTATTATCCTGATTTGTTCATACTTGGAAGAAAACATAATTCCAACTCTTAATTAAATATAATATATTGTTTTCTAACCTCACTTAGTTTTTCTTTCAACTCCAAGACTGAACAGCAAGAAGTGTCAGAAAGGGGAAATATCGCTTCACTGTCTGTTGTGTTTTTTAACTTATGTAATTCTTGTTACTAACCAAAAATGAAGGTTTTACTAACCAATATATATATAATGTCACTAATAGGAGATTGAAAACTGCTGCCAGCTTGCACTGCATCAGCCCAGGTTTGACATTAGCAGTCTTGAGCCTGACAGGTTAAATGCTCTTTAACCAAATACAGGGAAGCAACAGGTTTGAAGATGGAGGGCCCAGAAGGCACTGTCTACCTCAGATACCAGCAGAAAGTTTAATCAGTTGGAGTTCCTGGAAAGAAGCATGAGAATCATGAAGCTTTCCTTGTCCTTTGATCCATATCAGTGATTTTGTGTTATTCTCTCACAATACCTGAATATTGCTGCATGCAGAGCTTGTTTCCAAGACTTTAGAAAGTGATTTTTTTCTGTTCTCAGATAATTTTTCTGGTATTGATCTTTACATATTAATTTCCATTTTATAAGACCACTAGACATTTTTCAGGGTGGAATAAAGGTAGGGCCAACCCTGGTGCAGTATTGCAAATTGGCAGCATTGGTGATCCTGGTGACAGCAAGACAGGGCTTGGCACTCGAGGGCACAGTGCTGCTTTCTGACCCAACAAGGCACCTTTAAGTGGCCCAGAAAAGCTTTATACCTTTATTATATCAGTCTTGTAGCATGTGTAAAGTGTAGGGCATGATAGATAAACCCCTTTTAAAGATTTAGTGGCTTTTCAGACCGAACATGTGCATCGGCAGCAAGAGCTGTGGCACATCCCGTGGCAAGTTTCCAGCCCAGTTTGCCACAGCTGGAATTATTTCGTTTACAATCTAGGAGAACAAAACCAAGCATTCCATGTTTCACTTCCACAGCATTGTGCTCATCAAGTGTGTTCCTTGAGTGGACTCTTGAAAAGAAGAGATTGGACACTGACAAATTTCAGCGTTACCGAAATTTGTTTTACCTGCGCTTGTTCCTTGCCATGCGAGTTATCAGCAGAGAAATCATTGCTTTGATCTGAATCAGTGAAAGTGCTTCTAAAGAATGCTAAAATACACCAACCAATATTTTCAATTTTCAAAACTGCTTTTATATTGTTCTCTGTCATTTGATAGAATTTTGATTAGTATTGCACAGCAGAAAAGTTGGGGGGGGTTGTTTTCACTAATCCTGATTAAGGCTAGAAAAGACTCTTGATTACAGTAATTTTAATAATGTAAATTTGTTTGTGATATGTCTTTAGTCTTTAATCCCCTTTGGCATTTCATTCAAAGGGAGATGAAAATTTCAGGGATTTATAACATTTAAATCAGTCATTCCATGAATGTTTCTCAGGCAGTTTTTCTCTACCTGAAATAAAAAATACCTAAATGGGTATGTAACATATTTTGTGATCAGATTAGAAATACATTTGCATGTGGTTTTTGTGGGAAAATAGCTTAATATCTAGCACTTTCTCTTTACAATAAGGTATATGTGCATAAGAGAAAATTAAACCAATTATCAAAACCAATAATACATTTGAGATCTTTGCCATTCTTTCAGATGTTTTGAAGTAGGATTTTCACCAAGGACTTTATATAATCTCTTCATAATCAAAATTCACTTTAATTCTTTTGACCATTACCCCAAATTCTTATTTCTACTTGTATTTATTTATACACACAGTTTTTATATTATCCATTTAATTTTTAAGTAGTCTCAGCTTCACTTCACAATAGTAAAATTTGAGCTAATGTTTATTCCTATAAAACTAAACAGTTTTGAGCATAACCCTCATATTTCTTTAAGGTCAAGCTGATTAATCTTAAGTATTAGCATTACAATTAACTAATGTATAGAGATATTTAGTCAAGTTAATTCAGGGTGAAAATAAAGGGGTTTATTTTTTTTGCTATGCTTAAGGCAGTGAAATTTGCAGAACAAAGACTTGCAGAAGACAAACCACAAGTACTTAAGGTCTTACAACAGAGGAGGGGAGTGTGCTGCTTTTCGAACTCCTTGCCCTGGTGAAGCAGCTCAAATATATCTATATTTAAATTATTTAACAGCTTATTTTAATTTTTAAGTCCTTCAATTCATCAGTGATTCATGTTCATTAAAATCTGCTCTGTTAATGCCATTTGTATTTGCTCAGTTCCTCTTCCCCCACGCTAACATTGATGTTTTGTGCGTTTGCGTGTATCGATACGGAATCGTACTATGAATATAACCCAACCTTCCTCGGCTACCAATGGGGGGAAAAAACCCTATCTGCTCTTTTGCCTTGAGTATTTCAAAGGGAAAAACATGGCTGAGCAAAAAAACATCACCCCAGCTTTTCCTCCAAGCCCACTTTTGTCTAAAGTAATGAGGCCATAGTCAGTTGGCTCCAAGGAGCGCTGTGATTTAGTGTGACGTACAGTGAATCATTGCAGATCCATTCGGACTGCATTCGTTATTTTAATGAGACGCAGGCAAATCTGTTTTTTGGCCGCAAACCTTAAGATGCAAGCATAATGTGAAATGGTTGTTGATTGCCACAAGGCAACTGACATTATGGATTTTTATCGCCATCATTATGCACTTTAAAACTCCCCACATCCCAGGATATTCAGCCCCTTCCCTTTCCTCCCGCGAATGACAGGGAAGCCACAACGCTGACATTTAAAAGCGAAAAGCTCATCTATTTAATTTCTGGGCTTATTAAAACCTTACGTTGTATCCTCTGGTCTGCTTTTTGTTTTTTTTTTTTTGGTTTTTTTTTTTTTTGCCTTTTTTTTTTTTTTAATTCACGCTTTCCCAGAGGAGGAGAAAAACCCCCACTGCAGCGCGGTCACCCAAAAAAGGTCACATTCAGTTGGGCGACAGCAGCACTAGGTCCCCACCAGCCTGTGCTTGATGT